GAGTTGAAACCTTGGAGAGTTGGTCTTCTTCTTGAAGCTCCAATCTTCTTCAATGGAGTTCTTGAGGGGAGAGAGAGTAGAGAGAAGGAGGAACTTTAGGTTTTGATCTTTGGGGTTTTGTGTTTGAGTGATAAAAGTGAGGTAAATTGACTTTAAAATCATTATATACACGTCCCATAAAGTACCCTAAATACCCCTCACTTAGTTGGACTCTTTAATGAAGTAAAAATCGATTTCTGCATTTTCGTCGCAGAACAAGTCTACGACGCAAAGCTGTTCCCTGAAGATATTTGGAATTAAATTTTGAGACAGTAGAGTCTGCGACACGACCGCGTCGCAAACTAAATTTTTGCTTCTTAGGGAAGCTATTCCGCGACGCGGACCTATTCCCTCCAAGTGCAATTTGCTGCTTGGCCAAGGTTGGGGTCCTCCTCGGGGTCCCTTAGGGTGGCCCCGGGGCGTCGTATGCGAAATTTTTGACCCTAAAAACATATATTTACCTAATTTAAACCTTTTTACAAGATTATACCATCATCAAAAGATCCAACAATGCATCTACACTTAAAGTAGGCAGTTTTAAAACTTCCCATTACATTCCCACTCAAACACAAACACTAAACCAGATTAATTAAAAATTAATAAATAAAAATAATTATATGACACAAATTGCAAATTTTAATATTTATATAAATATAAATTAAAAATTAAATATTTGAATGATCTTTTTTTAAAATTAAAAATAGTAATTATATTATATATTTAAATAAAAAGGAGAATATAAATAGGCAGTTTTAAAACTTCCCATTAAAACACAAACTCTAAAATCCGATTAAGTAAAAATTAGTAAACTAAACCAATTATATCACGAATTGTATTTCTTTTAGCATAATAAAATACTAACAAAAATTCAACAATTTTAAAATTCAAAAAGTAATTTAAAATTCTTTGTATCTTAAATTAACCAAAAATAAATAAAAAATAGTAACCCACTAAAAAATTCTTTTAAAAATAAATATTACAAATTATATTTTGCAAAAAAAAAAAAGACATATGTAATTACAGTTAATTAGAGAGTACGTTATACTATTCCTTTATCAAATTTTCCAGAAGAAAAAATATAACGTAGATTAGATAATAAAAATAAATAACCCATTTTAAAACATTAGTTGATGAAGTAATAGTTATATACAGTGTAAAAATTAATAATGAATGACTTTTTTATGTGATTTGAGTGATGGATTTTGTTTAGTTTAATTTTAAATTAATAATTTTATACGGCTATGCCATCATATGATGTAATGTATAATTACATTTTATTTCTCCGTTATTTTAGTCTAATATGAAGTTCCATTATCTTCTTTAGAAAATTCATATCTATTTTAATATAGTTCAAATTAAAATTTAAAATATTTAATAAACACATTGAGAAAATCGATCTTATATAGTGTTTGTACTAACTAAGATTAGTTTTACCTTTAAATCATTTTTCTATTATAAATAGCAAAGAATATTTCGAATAAAACATATGTTAAATGTATGTACATGTCAATTGATCTTATCATAGTAATATTTCATGTGAAAAGTTAGAATTAGTTAATTGTTGACATAGAAAAAATTTCAAACGATATAAGAAGAATGAAGAACAAACACGTAAAAATATTTGAAGTATTTGATGTTTGATCAAGATAAAATAATCATAAATTAATAGGAAAAATTACTAGAATATTCAATTTAAGACTTTAATTTACATAATGTTAATTTACTCTTTTTATTTACAACATTATCATTTTAATTACAAACCTGACAACTTAATAAATATACATATCTTTATACGATTTTTTTTACCTATTTTTTAGCTTAGTGGACTGATTTTATGTGTTTCATAATTTATTATTTTTACTTTTTTTTATTTTCAATCACAACTATAATTGGTTACATTATTTTTGCCCTTTTTTCCCTCTTTCTTACTTAATACAATTACACTTCTAATTTTTTTTCCTTTCTCTTCAATTACGTTTTTTTTTACTTTTAGAATAATATAATGATAAAAAAAATATATGATATAGAATGGTATAAACTTCTTGTTTTTCTTGATATTATTTTAGTGCAAAATTGGTATATATATGGTGGTAAAATTATGAAATAGAATAGTATTAACATGTTGTTTTTCTTGGTATAAGTTATCTGCAGAATAATATATATATATATATATATATATATATATATATTGGAAATTAGGATATGGAATGGCATAAACATGTTTTTTTTAATATAAATTTTTTAATATTGTATACATTATGGTGACAATTTGATGTACATTACAATTTTTGGCATACCGTATTTACTTTGAAATTCTCAATGACAATTATAGTTTAATATGATTTTTTTACTTAAAGATCCTATGTTTTAGGATGCACGTTTCTTTCTCTCATTTTTTTGGTTGATTTTTTCAATTTTAGTGCTGATTTTGGGGGAGAATTTATTGCCTAATTAATAGGATTTCTACCATTTAACACATTCCGTATTTGATACAATTACTCTTGAATTTGTTCTTCTCTCTCCATTTTCGTTTCAATTCTTTTATAAAAAAAAAAAATCAATTTAAGTTCCATTATATAAGTACCAATATATGCAAAGTAATAAAAAAAGACATTTGCATACCCTAATAATAACCATTTGCATACCACAATAATTATTTATGCATACTAATTTGTATATCAATAATAGAATTCTTTTAGGTAATATTGTAAAAAAGAAAAATATGAAATCTTATTATGGTGTCAATTGATGTACAATATGATTTCAATATATATATTTTTATTTGTAAATACAATTTTACTAGTATATAATTTGATTCTTTAAAACGGTATACATTGTAGTATAGAACTTGAAATTACACTAAAACTATATGACACTATTTACGAATAACATTAAAAATTTATAATATAAAAAATGTACCATATAATAATACTAATATTTGTACTATATAATATACCAACAATTATTGAATTCTACCCCATATAATATACCAATTTAGTTGATATTTCGTGCCATTTTTTTTCAAATGACATTTAATACCACAAGGAAAACCAACATAAATAATAGAACTAATTACATCATATGATTAAATATGATTCTAAAAAAAATGTTTAATAAACAACCAATAAAATTCAAATCCGCTAATAACATTCAATTAGATTATGAAAAAAAAAAGTGTTATAAAAAAAAATTAACTCAACAGTGCTAATCTTCATATGGATATTTGGTACAAGTTTTGGTATTTGATTTTATTTTTTTTTAAAATGGTATTTGCATCACATATCACTCCTTCAATTGATCTTGAAATCCACATACCTTCCTGCAATACATTTCAAAAAAAAATTAAAGAACCTACTAAACAACCGTTATAATAATCAAATTTGAAATACACAATCATATTTTTTTTACATCACCAAAAAAAAGTTATATACGAAATGGTGTATAATATGGTTAAAAATTGGTGTCCACTTCATTATTCTTATAATGAAATTCGAACACCAACTTATAACCAACTATATATATAACATTGATTTATGAAGATTGATAAAGTTGAACATGATTATATGTTACAATCCAATGGTGCATAACACCATGATTATATGATTAAGGTGTACATTATGGTGACAATTTGGTGTACATTTCAATCTAATATATAAAGTATGATATACACCAAACATTTACACCACAAACTAACCAAAAGTAACTAATTTATTTATACAATAAATTTAATTAAACAATCAACTAAATGCATAATACCATCATATAATATCTATTTTTTAAAATTTACACATTAATTATAGTGTACTTGAATGGTGTACATTATGGTGTATAATTTAATATGATAAATAATACATATTTTAAACCAATATTACACCATGATCTTACCGAGAATTTTATCAAAATTATTTTGGATAACCAAATTAATTAAAAAGTGAGTACATTACTATTTAACATTGATTTCCATATTAATATTGTCATTAAATAGTGGTAAATTTATAGAATTTGAGTTATATTAGGTGTTAATCTTGGTTTTGATTATATTTGCATAGTAAGAAATCATAAAAAGAAGATAAGTCTATTAATTCACCCCTTAAAAAAATTCTTGGGAAGTTTACAAATAAATGTGAACACTTTCAAATAGAATTATTTGCAAAGGTAGTATACAAAAAATTTAATTAATTCTTTCTTGATTTAGTAAATGGGCAACTAATATGGAACAACTATTTTAAGTAAGATGATCAACTAATATGGAACGGAGGAAGTATTATTTAAATATATCACTTAGTGAATAATAATTTTTATTAATTATAAAATTATTATATTTTAAATGTCCGTGTAACACGCGGGTACGTATAGATTGAATGAGTAAAATGCCCCAACCAGCCGTTTTAATTAGAACTCTCATAACACTACAAAGAAGTTCAATCATCAAACTTTTACATATATTTCAATCATGTATTCATTGATCTACGTCACCAACAAGTTTCAATTTGAAATTATTCAGATACTTTTGGAGCGCTCTCTTCTTAATTCCGTCAACTCCCGAACAATCAGCCCAGGTCATGCAACTAAAAAGTCTTCTTAACTTGAGAAATTATTAGTGAAACTTGTCTACCCTGTGCAGCACGGCAAGTTCTACCTTACAGAATTTATGACAATACTGAAACAACTATTACTACTTTTTTCAACAGCACTGGTGCTTGCTCACACCACAACTATTGCATCTACTTGACAGCAACACAAATAACATATAATTTTATCCTCCAACGCTTGGGAAGACGGAAAGAGATTGTTTAGTTTTTTGTTTCTGTTAAAAGATTTGAAACATCTCGCATGATTTCACCCACTTTAGGGACTGCTAGGTTTTACACCTTTGGTGCAGCAATGACACAAGTCACAACTATTAAGTGATGGGTTATTATAAAGGCTGACCCCTTAAACAGAGCATGCAACATAACATAGAGAGTAAATGCAACAGAATCCTACATTAGAAATCTCAAATTTGTCAATTGGTGACACTAGTAAATACTTTCAGAGCCTTACTGTATAGTAACAGAACACCTTTACCAATCAAAAAAAGAAATTGTCAATTGGTGGTTCTTGACTAGGAGCATCCTCTCCAATTAAACAAAGAAAAAACAGACAAATGTGCATCCAATTGTAAGATGCAAGTACATGTTCATCTTTATTGTGAATTTTACCCACCAGAAATGCCCACATGGCATAGTTCATACAGAAAGGTGGTCTAGGAGTAGTTGCTGCTATAGAATTTTTTCAGGAAATTGGATGCATCCCGATCTTTGCCTGAGACGTCCTGCACAAGACCTTGGTTACCTACAACATATTGCCCAACAATGTGGTGCCTCTGCTTTGACTGGTTCACAATGTTCATCAACTCTTCCATGCCCTTGAACAGCAGCATGTCAATTACCTGTATAAAGATGAGTATCATGAGGAAAAGGTATGGAACTGCCTCACTAATAGTAATATGAATAAAACGCTATAAGAATACAAGTGGATTCACATGAAAGTACGATAACTAGCACTGAGTGCCTTGGCGAGAAAATCTCGAGGGTCCGACTTCCAGAAAAATATTAACGTATGAGTTAAGAGGTGTAAACTGTTCCTGGAACATCTTTGGTTTTGCTTTCCTTATTTTACTTTTTCAGGGTTGAGGAGTCAGATATTGTTGTATGGGAGACCAAGGTGCAGAAGTCATATTAGTGTTCAGATTGTGCAATCGAGAGCCTCTTCAATATGACGCCACTTAGGAATCAAGGACATTGTAATGGTTGATAGCACATACAATTATGTTAGACTGAGCTCCTCATCTATCAACAACGGCCAAGTTTATAAGCCCACTGATATTGTATATGTTGATATACGAGCTCGTTCTTTGATAAAGTGTGGATAGAGTTGATATCTTGCACGTCCACATGTTAAGCCATCAGAATTATTTGTTGAAATAAGTGTTTTGGAAAAAAAAAAAATCCTCGTGGTAAAGAGATATGTGTTTAGATGGTTCTAGTTCTTCTGAAGGTCCATGAATTTTGAGAGTGCAGAATTATTTTTTTTGGTTTGAGAAGGTAACAGTTGTGTATATTTGACTAAAACAGCTACACAAGTAATACTGAAAACCATATTATATCATATCACAAAGAAGAAAACAGATCCAAAATCTAACAACAACCTAGGATATCTATGATAGAATCAGTGTCCCCCAGGTAAACCTATTTGCACCAGAAACAAAAAAGTCTAATGCAATTCAGTTTGATCGTTTGTATTGTATTGCTATTGTCTTCAAAAAACACCTGACATTTCTCTCTTGCCTTATACTCTCCACCAGATATGGACAATCCAAGCTCCTGGTCCGGTCTCATCCCAGCTATATAATGCATCTGTAATCTTATTTGGCATAACCCATACAATGCCTCTAAGATTAACAAATACCCTCCAAAACTGGGCTGTAATCTTGCATTCTAGAAATAGTTGGCTGACTGTCTCAGGCTCTTTGCTTCACCACATAGGTAACACCTAGAACACAGAGAAATATTTTTCCTTTCGGAGTTTTTCTTGAGTCAAATAACCTTCCCTTGCCAATAGCCAAGTGAAGAATGTAACTTTGGTTAACTTTTTCTAAAGCCTTTTGTTATTTGGCTCTTGGGTTTTTGCACATGTACAGATTTTACCCTATACACATATAGTTACCCTAAAAAAAAAATGTTTTCTTACAAGTAAGAACAGCCATAGACACATATCAATGTAAGGCAGCAAATTTTACTGTTTCCAGACCTTAAACCAGTCCCTTATCCACAGTTTTTCAGTTCTAACATCAGTCCAAGCCCATATATGACCTTGGTCCTTCATAAGTAACTGTAAATAACTAAATCTCATGATTTTAAATAATAATATTATTTTCACAAGTTTAAGTAACTCTACAATCAGTATCTCCAAGAACTAACTAATTTAGATGTCATCAGCCATCTAAACAAAAAAATTCCACCAAAACCTGAGGTAGCAGTAATAAGAGTAAGAAAAACTCAAATATGATTTTGATCCAAATGAATAATCACCAAATTTCTGATGTGTCAGCACAACTACTAAATTGCACTTGATTCATCTGTCTATCAGTTAAAACAAAAGATCAAGATTTAGATCCTATATTTGAATCCAATTCAAGAGTAACTTTAAACTAAAGTTAATTCATATTAGCACAATTCTTAATTCTCAACTTCAAATAATGAGCATTAGCATCTCCTTTTGGCAATTCCTATTCAATAAACGCACAACTGCAAAGAGAAACGAAGTTTGTCTCAGCAAGCACACACCAAAACCACTGTATATCTAATCTCTCTTCAAGAAAGATGTTCAGAGGAATGTCCATTTCAATTGTATCATAACGGTGGAATTTTGAAAGTCCAGCATAAAATCCATCATCCAGCCCCTATTCCTAAATCCTCTTCCCTCCCCATTTGTCCCCCCCTTCTCCATGAATCAACAAAAATCAACAACATATCCGGTGAAATCCTACAAGTGGGGTTTGGCTAGAGTAGAGTGTATCATACCACTACCTCATGGAGGTAGAGAGACTGTTTCTGAAAGGGCATAGCTTTCTCACAAATTGCAAATGTTAACAAAATGCCACAGTAAATCAGAAGTAAACTGAAAAACTTTTGTACTTCGATTCAATTTTTTCCTTGTCTTTCTCTTTCCAGAACAGAAATGTTATCGGACAATCTAATCACAGTATTTTCCAATCAGATTATAAAAGGAAAGCGTTCAATTTTGAATACCCCAATTCACAACAAACAAGATTTTTCTAATTGAATCGAATAACGCCTAATTCCACAGCATATTAGGTTTCAAATCCGAAAAGGAACAGGTTATATTTCAGATTGATACCTTAGGGTTAGTAACATTGGCATTCTTGCGAACTTCGGCGGCGGCGGCAGAACGGAGTTGGGATGGTGAAACGACATCGTGCAAGTTGTAGACTTCCATTACATGAGGGATGGATCTACAGCACATACGGAAGAATTCAAAGGTCCGAGTGCGAGCTTCTTCCAAACTGGCGGAGTTTGGTGGTACCTTAAGACTCTTCAGTATTTGGGACATTCTTGATTTCTTTCTGCCTTCACTGAACAAGTAAAAAATGGCAAAACTATATTGAGGTAAAGGCCTGAGAAGCAAAAGGGTATTATAGTTTGTTATAATTTCGGAAACCTCCCTTTTATGTTTAGCCTTATAACTCTTTTAGTTTTAGATATTATATTAACATCCCTTATTTTGAAATTTTTATAACCAAACTTATTTTAATGACAAAATTTTTCCAATATTTCATAGTTGCCCTTTCTGGGCATTATATTGAAAACTAAATTGTGGGCGAAATTCTACTCATCAAAAATTAACTTTATACTTGAAATATTCACTTACACGATGTAATAAGTTGCACAACTTGATAATTGCTACTCCTTAAACATATCAAATTTTAAATGTAATCTTTTTAGTTATATGGGATATGTTTTAAGAACAGAAAATTATTCAGAATTATTTTATTTATAAATATAATATAGTTTAATATCGAAAAAAAAATAAAGGGGAAAATGACAAATATACCTCCGAACTATCGTAAATGGTATGCAAATACCCTTCGTCATACTTTTGGGACATTGGTGCCCCTGCCGCCCAAAAACTAAATCATATATACCCTTTATACTAACGGACATACACGTGTCATAATCTTATCCATTGATTAAATATCGGATCGACGAATAAGATTGCGCCACATGTCCCTATTTAGTCTTCCGTTAGAGTGAAGGGGATATATGCTTTAGTTTTTAGACGGCAGGGGCATCAATGTCCCAATAGTATGACGGAGGTATCTGCATATCATTTACGATAGTTCGAGGGTATATTTGTCCTTTTTCCCAAAAATAAAATACTAGAAATGCATGTAGAAAAAAATTAGTATATGTATATATATATTATTATTATTTTATTTTATTAATTATTATTATTATTATTATTATTATTATTATTTATTATTTATTATTTATAATTATTATTATTTTATTTTATTACTATTATTATTATTATTATTATTATTTATTATTTTATTAACTTAAAAGTATGAACTCCTAACTTAAATGTTTTATTATTTATAATTATTATTATTTATTTATTATTTTATTAACTTAAAAGTATGAACTCCTAACTTAAATGTTAAATTACTATAATATCCCTAACTTATGTAGTGACTTTTTCAATAAGTTGTGACTTTTTTCACAGGGTTATGATTTTTCGATGAGTTGTGACTTTATCAAAGGATTGTGACTTCTCGGAAAGGTCTTTTTTGATAAGTTGTGACTTTTCCGATACGTTGTAACTTTTTTCAAAGAGTTGTCATTTTCGATGAGTTGTGACTTTTCTAAGAGTGGTGACTAATTCAATACGTTGTGACTTTTCCAAAGGGTTGTGACTTCTCGAAAAGTTCATGACTTTTCGAATAAGACACAAAAAACACTTGTTCATACTACCCTTTGTTGACTACAAAGAGAGGGGTTTCCTCTCATTTTTCAATCACAATTTTTTTAATCTTCTACTCTTCTTCTTCTTGAATTTTAAAAAGAATTGTATAATTTATTTTTATTGAGCGAGGCTAGGTCATGCGTGTTGCATGTTATTACCTTATAGACTATTTGGTCGAGAGTAGTACTAGGATGGGATAACCTTGAAATTCGATCGTGTAATTTCGACAAAAAAAGAGGGATTCAACCCATGGACTTTTCGGGGGGGTACCCATCATAGTACTACTCTCGCCCAAGCACGCTTAACTTCGGAGTTCTAATGGAATTTGGTGTGTTAGTGCTGGTATAATCACATCCATCATTCATAACACTCTAAATTATATTAAACACCTCTTTCCTCCCAACGCCCTAGTCTGCCCCCCCCCCCACCAACTTAGCCTCCACGCACCGACGCATAACGCCTGTAACGACCCAAGAGCACCCCCTAGTCGTTACCGGCATATTCGACCTCGAAGAGGTCTTATACAAGCCCTTAGCATTCGTCATAACATGTATCATAGGATAAAATCACGAAAAATTTAAAACTTTTACTTTGGAAGTTCAACTTCTCTTCATATATGAAATACATAATCTAACTTCGTCACAATGTACCATCTAGACATAGAAGTATCGAAAATGGGACTTAGCCCTTACATCAATAAGAAGTCTTGAAATAGGAAAGTACAGCAATGTCTTTCAACATAAGCAAAGAACTAAACATAGAAGCTAGATCATAGGGTCTTGTCCTCGAACTTGAGAACTCACCAACTTGGGAAAGCAACTCCAAGTGTCTTGAGAAGTAAGCTTGAATTCTCAACGACCCGAACCTAAATGTTTGGGGAAAAAGGATATCAACGATACAGGATCACTGACCTGGCGGTGGTCCGCCCAGTCATAGATCAAGCAAGTCAATATCCTTAGAGGTAGTCCAACTACATAAGAATCGAAATACAGAAGAATTTTAACATAGTTTCTCAGATTGCATGATTTAATTATTTTATCCAAGCAAAGGCTTTGTCAAGAAGCTAATACATACTTTTATTGAGCCAATGTGTCTGATAGTTCTAACCGGGTATCAGGCGTCCTACTTATCAAACTCAATTTCGGGTTAAAAACCACGGCTCATCAGACGGAGTCACAAAGACAAAGCCAATAAAAGTAGTACTAGATCCGACTGTACCTCAATCTCAAAAGCCAGAACCAAGTCGAGAAGCCATACTAAAATTCTTCTATATATAAATAAAGCTTAGATCCGTTCATGGTCTATATAAAAGAAAAGTTAGTTATCCGGCATAGATATAAATTTTTAGCCGGACATAGTCACGGCTTAGATCGGAGAATTTATAAAAGTAAAAGACAGGAAGGAATAGAAAAGAAAGTACCTTGTAGTTACCAAATCGCACACTTTATTATTCCGGCCAAAATCCGGCAAGCTTACAATACTTAGTAAGAAAAGTTTACAAGAGAGAGTACAAAAGGGAAGAGAGGGTTTCTAAAACCTGTCCTTCTTTAAAGAAAAACCAACTTATTTATAGAAAAAGAAAGCATCTTTGTACAGGATACTGGGCCCCTATCTGGGTCCTGGTAACAGTGTATCTACTGTTGGTGAACAGCGTTGCTACAGTAGCGCGGGCCTGCTACCGACGCGGATAAGCTTTACACTTCTTTTTACATCTTGTCCTTTAATTTTGCCAAAAAATCTTCGGCTTTCTTCAGTGCATTCACTGGCGCGTCTTCTTCATATTATTGAGCTTCGTGCATATCTTCACTTGTTTCACTACGCATTGATAAATCTGATTTTGCGTAATGACTTACATTTAGAAGAATCTTTTTCTTTACTTTTTCTAGATATCTCATAATCATTTCATTTTGTTCTTCTTCATCATGATTAGAAAATTTTCTAGCCATATGTTTTACGGAGGTTGAGTCATCAGTCATAATTCCTTTATTAGTAATCGATTTATAATCGTGTATGGTTTTCGTTATTAGATCCAGGAGTTTTTGTCCGTATATAGACTTTGTTTGAGGATCTTTCTTCATCAACTTGTCCCAAAAATTATTATAATAAGTTCTGTATAGGCAAGGGATTTGTTCCTCAGTGAAATCTACTTCCGGAACCCATTTATGAATCCATGGAACAGAGAATTCTATAAAAAATATATCTGTTCAATTTGTTGAAAATAACAAATATGTTCTTGATGATATAACTTGTTGAGATCTGGGGAAATCTTGACCCATTCTTTATATAACTTGAGAAATGGTTCAAGTAATATTTTATTGGTTGGCCCGTGGTATGACCACCAGTTTAAAAACCAATTTGGTATAGGGTTAACAAATATCTTGGCACATACTTTTATAAACCAAGTATGTTTATGCCTCTCATTGTTATAACAGAGGACTTTATTAAATGTCTGAATATAATCCCAATAGGTAAAACTTACCAAGACTTTGTTCAGACTGAATTGTCTTTCTGTCATTGAGGAAATACCTCAATCTTCAATATGAATGATGTGTTTTATAATCATTTTAGAGAAGTTATAAACATTCTCACTTGTATTATATCCTGGAAAATGTTGAAATTCAACACCTGTGCTTATCAGCAGAGTCTCATAATATTTTCGAGTTTTGTATGACTCACTCGGGAAATAAAGCCCATTAACTAAATACCTCTGGAATATCTTCCAAGGTTCTTCTTTTCTCTGTATGTCAGAGTTTTCTAAGAGAAATATCATTTCTCTTTTCTCTACCTTTTCATATGTTTTGATATCATCAACTTCTTCTTTGGCGATTGAAGCAAAAGAATCACCTTGCTTTTGAGTTAGAAACTCCTGTAGTTTAGCATATAATGGATCACTTTCTGGAATATCCTCCAGATGTACGGATGATGAAGCTTTTTCCTGTGCTCTAGAGTTTAAGTTATATAAACTCATTCCGCCTTTTTATATAATTGGAGTACTAGATGATGAAGATCCGTATGATGATCTTGATGAACTTGGGGATGATCTTCCCCTTCTGCGAGTATAACTGTCTTTTCCTCTAGCCTTGGTTATCCAAGGAGGATCCATCCTGCAAACATAGCATTTAATTTTAATCATTCAAAAGGTTATATTTTTAATCATTCAAGAGGTTATAAACTTCATTACAATAAAATCTTTCATAAAGCTCTTGTTCAATAATAATAATAATGAGAAGAAGAAGAAGAAGAAGAAGAATAACTACAACAACAAAATCATCATCATCATCATCAACAACAACAACAACAATAATAATAATAATAATAATAATAATAATGATAACAACAACAATAATAATAATAATGACAACAACAATAATAATAATAACAATAACAACAACAATAATAACAACAACAACAACAATAATAATAATAATAATAATAAGAAGAAGAAGAAGAAGAAGAACAATAACTACAACAACAACATCATCATCATCATCATCAACAACAACAACAACAACAATAATAATAATAATAATAACAAGAATAATAATAATAATAATAATGACAACAACAACAATAATAATAATAATAA